GAAGGCAGGCAGGTGAGCAGTTAGGAGCCAGTGGTCCTGGATTGTGAGAGGGATCCCGGATTGGAGAGGGTGCAGGCTGGACCGAGGGGACCCCCCCACCAATACACAAATTTCATGCACTGGGCCTCTAGTATATATAATCAAAATGAGAGAATAAAACTATATTGGCCAAACACATTAATAGGATGATTTAACAAGTAACACACAAACCATTAAGCAAAATAAGTAATGAGAATTTTATTAAAGTCAAAATCCTAATAAAAATTGTTAGTACCCACTCATACCTGACATTATGACCTATTACCATCATCATTATTTTATTATGCTAGTGACTTAAATTTAAATTTTTCTTTGGTTAATGTCCCTGTTCCAATTCAGATAAAGGATCATGTAATTAAAAGATCATTGTTAATAATAACAAAATAAAAGTATTTAAATATAATAAAAAACAAAAAATGTTCTTCTATAACCTAACAGCAAAGAGAAAATACATAAGAACTTACTGCAAATTTTCTGCTTCCATATCTTCTTTCAAATATCCTAAAATTATAAATAAGCAGACTACTGCAGAAACTATCTTTCAAATCAAGGCAAATTATTCTTCCACATATCAGCCTCCAAATCTAGATGGGGATTTAAAAAAGAACAATAAAGAGTGAGATCTGTTCAGGTTGCTCCTTAGCAAATTTGTTACATTTACTTTATACTGCTTATTTTTTAAACTCTAAGCAAAATAATGATGCATACAGAAAAGGAAAACACATATATGTTTTTCCTAAGAAATGAGCTCTACTGTCTCCTGCTAAAATTCTTTTCATACAACGGCACAAAGGGTACTTAAAATTTTTTGATTATTATAGTAAGTAAAATTTATTCTCATTAAGAAAACAGAAAATTTCCTGTTAAACATCTTAAGACTATGTTTCATACAATAAAAAACAATTATAGATGTGAGCTAGAATGAAAGGCTAATGTTCGTTTTTATGCTATTTAATAAAACAGGTGTAACTAAAAAGCTATTTAGGGATAAACTCAATAATATCCATTTCTAAGCTTAATTTTAATGCTCAACCTACTTTATACCAACCCACATACAAGGCAAATTATGTCAACTGTTGCTAAATATTACTAGGTTTAAATTTTTTTAAAGTTAACTTTTAATTTATGTATATCAATTTCTCCTTGTGTGAAAAATATATAAGGAACTATACAAAGAAGAAAGAACAACTCAAAGGCTTATTTGAGACTTCTTAAATATTTTCCAGATATTTAAAGATAATCCCAATGACATTTGTAAAACATTCTGATATTATTTACCTTTCACAATTACCTTATAAGATAGGTACAAAAAATATTAACCTTTTCTTTTGTATTGTTTTTATTTTGGTAAAATTACATAAAATGAAATTTATCATTTTAACTATTTTTAGATGTATAATTCAGTGGCATTAAGAACATTCATAATGTTGTATCCCCAATCACCACTATTTCCAGAATTTTTCACAATCCCAAACAGAAACTGTATCCATTAAACAATAACTCCCCATTCTCCCCTCCCCTCAGGCCCTGGTAACCATTATTCTACCTTATGTCTCTAAGAATTTGACTATTCTAGGTACCTCATATAAGTGGAATCATACAATATTTGTCCTTTGTTGTCTGGCTTATTTACTTTACTTAGCATTATGTCTTCAAGGTTCATGTTAAAGCATGTATTAGAGCTTCATTACTTTGAATGGCTAAATAATATTACACTGTATGCCTGCACTACATTTTTAAAATCCATTCATCTATTAATGGGCATTTGAATTGCTTCCACCTTTAGGCTATTGTGAGGAATGCTATTATGAACACTGGTAAGATTAACTCTATTTTAAAATAAGGAGAATATGCACAGAGAAAGTGTTTTACTTGTCTAAGGCATATGACCTTGCCAAAAGAAGTTCTTGCAAATATAAATAATCATAATATAAATGAGAATATAGACTATACCGACTGTCAAAACATTTCACTTCCGTTTCAGTTCCAACCAAGACAGTCTTTGTCATCAGTGTACTCCAAAATATGATGGCACTGGACTGGTTTAGGGCTGGCCATTAGAATTCATTTCACATGCCCATCTAACTGAAACGGAGATGGCTGCCAATAATGCCGTGTTAAGATCACAGCTGGGTTTAAGGAGAAACAGCAACATCATCAGTTAGCAATGACCATAATGGGCACGCATATGGAACACAGGTGACACCTCTAAACTAAATTTCTTTTCTCCCTTAGAAATTCCATGGCTGCACCAGAATCACATTGAATCTGTAGGCCAGCATATCCGACCATCAACATGATCAAATGAGAATGCTTTGTAAACTATGTAATGCTTTAAAATATAAGATATTTGACTGTCACCTTTGCAAAACAAGATGCAGAAACCATGAAAAACAGCTTTAAGTCTTCTATTTCCCACATTTTAAACTCTAAAAATATATTCTATTCAGGGCAAAGCCCTGTGAGCCATCAGGTAAATCTGGGGGATTAAGGACATTAAAGCTTTACAATTATTTAAATCTAACAATTTGGGTTTATAGAATTGTTTTAATGACAAATAAAAATAGAAACCACACTTTTAAATAATTTTGTAATTTGTCCTATGCTTACGGACACAAAAACCTGTGACCTGGTATAAAAATAAATAATTGGAGATTACTATAAGGTGCCTGCTCCTTATAAAATTGATCACTGACTTACCCCCAGCAAAGCACTACTTCTGCATTCAACCTGCAACACACTAGAGGAGGGGTGGGCAAACTTTTTGACTCGAGGGCCACATGGGTTCTTAAACTGGACCGGGAGGGCCGAAACAAAAGCATGGATGGAGTGTTTATGTGAACTAATATAAATTCAAAGTAAACATCATTACGTAAAGTAAAAGGGTACTGTCTTCCAAACTGGCCGCTGCAGGCCGTAGTTTGCCCATGGCTGCAGAAGCAGGAGATCTCCGCCTTAAGTGTCAAAATGTGGGAGATTCCACACTTGCAAAAGAAAGCCCTTCACCAACTGTCCCTCCTGTCCTCATCTAACGTAACCCTGCACTAGTCTCCAACCATGCCTCCTATACAGTATTCCTAACGGTTTGAAGTACATGTTGCTTTGGGAAGTAAAATGCTCTTCTCTCTCTACTGCTAATAAACTGGCATCCCTTCCTTCAGGCCAAATGGAAAATTCCTGTCTTTATGGATCTCCAGAGCTATTCCATTCTATACTGGTCCCTACTTCACTTACCATCCCTGAGGATTTCATGTCACTTATGCCTTATGTATGTGTATGTTTAGATTTCCCAAGGCAGAACTGAAACTTATCTCTGTAGCTGCTCTTATAAAAGCAAAGTGAGAGCTTTTTAGGAGATGCTAGCAGGAGAGTGTGCCTATTCACATTCCTGGACAGAAGAGTGGTTGTCCTCTTTATCTTCAGAGTATAGATGACCATAAAGTGATGAAGTGGAAGGGGATGCCTTCCTACTTAGCCAGATTAACAAATTAACCCCCCAAATCAGGAAGACACCAACTTCAGTCCCTTGCAGCAGTGGTTCTCAGCCAAATTGAGAACCACTGTATTCTTGCAACTAACTGAACTAATACAGAATCTATACTATATTCTAACAGAAAATAACTGAAAGACCTTCACAGGAACTTGGTGAAATTAACCTGAGTGGTATTAATTACATTATTATGACATACAGGTGGATTATTCTGGATAATTAAGTATTTAGCAAAGAAAAGGTGGCAGGTTTATACACCACAATCTTCACTAATACTCCAACTCACAAATAAGACCCAGCACCAGCATGTTCTATGAAATCAGCCTATAAGTCTTGAAAAACGTAGAATTCTGCTCTTCTCAGCAGCAAAAACCCAAGAGAAATCTCCTACTTGGTTTAACCACCACTATAAAAGTAATTCGTAGATTCAACAATCTGTTAGAGCTGAGAGCTTAGATTATCCAATCAATATTCAAACTGATGCAAGTTTTTAAAATGTTAAGCATACATACTAATCACTAAAAACCAAATTTAACATTGTTTTTAATTCTCTTGAAATTGTAAACTGCATTTTCATGTGTAAACGGTGTAACTGAAAAGAGATAGTGTCTAGTGCTGCAAATGCTTCATTAGAATCTGCTTTGCTGACAACATCAATAAATAAAACTAGAGAATTTGTTAATATAATATTAATGATAAATAGTATTTCTTACAAATTTAGAGGCTTTGAGGGACTGAGAGTAGCAGAAAGAAAAGGCAAATCTAGGGAAAATTTGCCTCCTCCCTTCCCAAAGGCCAATGAAGCAGAGCTCACCTGAAAGTCATCCTTGACTGCTTGGAGGTCATACAGGAAGAACCTCTGACAGTGTGGCAGGAGTAGAGTCAGCAAAAGAGACAGGGCACTGGGGACCAGTAAAAGACTCTTAGATAGAGGTGCCTTGTCTGGAGGGAAAAAGAAAACCGCTTTGAGAATTATTGTTCCTAAGATTTAAAAAAACACACGAGTGAACAAAGCAAGATAATTTATTTTTTAAAACAAAATGAAAGTAAACTGCACAAACTCTGGAACTTAGTTCTAATTAACATATATTTCAAAACATTTACCTACAGAGGTAAGTGATCAAAGGGCACTGGAAAACAAGTGGAATTTACTGGCAAGGTTTTCATTGTTAGTTGGCTCTTATATGAGACCAAACCAAGTTAACAGCCAGGAACTCCCATAAAATACCTTTCAGAACATGGTCACCGAAGTGCAAAGAAATAGAGAGAAGAATATGCTGTCTATCAAATTGACCAGTTAGCTTTTGAGCATGCGCAGGATTCACATACATAAGCACATTAAAAATAATTAAAATGTGCCCTAACCGGTTTGTCTCAGTGTTTAGAGCGTCGGCCTATGGACTAAAGGGTCCCAGGTTCGATTCCGGTCAGGGGCATGTACCTTGGTTATGGGCACATCCCCAGTAGGGAGTGTGCAGGAGGCAGCTGATCGATGTTTCTCTCTCATCGATGTTTCTACTCTCCCTCTCCCTTCCTCTCTGTAAAAAATCAATAAAATATATTAAAAAACAAGAATAATTAAAATGTGGTTAAAAGTGCTAACATTACTGACTGCAGTGGCCTACTGAGATTATCCACCATGAGTATGACTGGAGCCCAAGTCGGTTTTCTATTTGGAGCCTTTTCTAAACATTATGCAGCTTTCAAATTACAACACCATTTCGACTTCCCTTCGTCCATTTCAGTGAAGCATTTTAGCCCGAGGAGCCCCCCCACCCACTCTGCACCCGTTTCCAGGGACTATTTGAATATTCAGGATTTTGTACCTGTTTTGCCTTCCAAACTACATTAAAGATTTCTAAACAAAGGCCACCTGCTTTCTCTTCTCTCTATTGGCAATAGAGCCCAGCACAACCCCTTGCACCTAAGAAAGGTTCAGCTCAACAGGACAGACCGCAGAAAGATACCACTGATGGAGACAATCTCAGATCGCACAAGGATCACTTTAATAGTATTCACATGAAATTCCCTGGGAGTGAATTTACGAACTACAGTTGGTAATGAGTTTGTTTAAGTATATAAAAATAGCCCAACTGTTTCCTCTCTGATAAGGTCTTGCAACATCTAAATTGGAACCATTAGTACCGTGCTTGCATACAATCTTCATGACTGAGACACAATCAAGGCTCCACGGAATCTAAAAGCTAACAGAGCTCCCCATCCCGAGATAAGAGGTTCCCCATGGCCTCAGTAAGTATAGAAGAAACAATAAGTATACATCAAAAGTATAGCAGAGCACCATGGCCGTGAGCTTAATCAACCTAAATTCTATCTCCACCAGTTTAAGCCTCAGTTTTCCTCACTTGTAAAATGAAGATAAGAAAAGCTACCTCAAAGTGTTGTGAGAAGTAAATGAAATAGGGAAAACTGCTTCTAAAACTACAATCACATCACCCCAGGAGAATGGGCTTCCTGTAAAGGCAAGCTCCTTTATTTTTCTGACGGACCGAAGATGGAGCAGGGGTGATGTAAGGGAGCTGGAACCATGTTTTCTTCCTCAGGTTGGGCCTCCACCATTCCTTGTGAAATAGGCTCGTGCAAGGATCATTCATGGCTGCCTCTTCCAGGCCAGCTCCTGAGTAACTCGGCATTACTGAAGAAAATCAAATCGCTAAGCTGCAAGATTTCACGGTAAGTTCATAGTCTCAAATCTCCAACTGCTAACACTCTCTACTGATGAGCAATTCTATTCCTTTTCTCTAGTAAACCTACTCATCAACTTATTTCACACCATCTCATCCTCTCTCCTCAAATCTCCCTGCTCCACACTCCCAACTTGGCTTACATGTCACCAAGTGAATAAATGAATGACATGCTTTAGTATTTTCAGTCATTCTCAAAATTAACAAGTACCTACTCTTGACCATGTATTATCCTAGGCCCTGGGGTATAGCAGTAAGTGATAGACAAAATCCCTCCCCTTTTGTGGTGCTTTCAGTCTAGACAAGAGAGAAAAGAAAATACACAAACCAAGGCAACTATGCATTATGTCAAATGGAAATAAATACTATAGAAAAATTAAGCAGGGCAGGCTGGTATGGCTCAGTGGTTGAGCACTGACTCAAGAACCATGAACCAACGGTGGTTCAATTCCTGGTCAGGGCATATGCCCGAGTTGTGGGCTTGATCCCCAGTAGGGAGTGTGCAGAAGGCAGTCGATAGATGATTCTCTCTCATCATTGATGTTTCTATCTCCCTCTCTCTGAAAATCAATAAAAACATATTAAAAACAAAAAAGAAATGAAAATTAAGCAGGGTAAAGAGTATGGCTATATCATCCATCATAGATTACCTGGTCTCTTTTAAAATACATGATAGGACTGCCACACACCCATTCCCCCTCCCTAACTGAAGTTAGGTATGGCAACATGACTCACTTTGGCCGAATCAGTAATAGACATTACTTCCAGGCAGATACTTGAAGAGCCAGTGAATGGACTTTCCCTCTGCCAGTACTCAAGATGGTGGCCATGCTATCAGCCAGATCCTAGAGTTAAAGACGGTGTGAAGTGGACCTCCCAGGTGACTTGCCACAGAGGGATACCATCAGTGAGAAACAAACCTTGTCGTTTAGGCCCCTGCTATTCTGGAGTTGCTTGCTGCTGCAACACAACTTAGTTTATCCTGGTTTAGTGGAAAACACAGTGCTAGTAGGGAATGAGGGGTGCTATTTTACATAGGGTGGTAAAAGGCCCTTCTAATAAGGGGAGATTTGAGCAGAGACCTGTGGAAGTAGGCCAAGCAGATATCTGGGGGAACAGTATTCCTGGCAGAGGAAACAACAAATCAAATGCTTTGAGGCAGGAACATGCTCCACATGATTAAAAAAACAAAACAGTAAGACCACCAAGGCAGGTAAAAGCATAATAAGCACAAGGCAGACAAGTAGGATATAAGGTCAAATATGTGGGAGACCAAATAGTGTAGAGCTCTGTAGGCCATCAAAATAACTTTAATCTTTCCTCTGAGAGTATCAGGATCAGTTTGACGGGTTTAAAGCAAGAGTATCAAATGATCAAACATATTTTCAGAGGACCACTTTGGTTGTTAAATTGACAAGACATCACAGGAAGGGGAGTGAAGAAGAATGGAGACAGGTAAGGAGGCTATCATGATGATACTGGCATGATGACGGCCAGGACCAGAGTGGTTTAGGTGGAGATGGTCAAAACTGGGACATGGTTGGAAGGTGCAGCAGGCAGGATTTGCTGGCTGACTGGGTGTAGAAAATGGGCAAATGGAGAAGTCAAAGATGACTCCAAAGTTTTTGTTGAGCAACTAGAAGAACTGTTGCCAGCTACTAAGATGGAAAATTCTGTCACCTTTGCCCTTACCATGCCTATAAGGTCTGAACCCATCTTGCAAAATGCTCCCTAACCCCCATGTACCTCCATCTGCCAGAACTCCACCCCTCTACACCAGTGCTATTCAAAGTAGCCAGTTCACAAGCTGCTACCAGTCCACAGTGAAGTTTGTGTCAGAATGTGAACCAATATACTGCATCCTTCAGGGAGTCCAACTGTGAAAAAAATATCATCTGAACTGAGCATATGCTCTGCTCAAATATCACATTATTTGTGAATAGTCATGTAACTCTATCCCCTTTGTTCTGATTTTTTCATAGCACTTATCAACAAATGCCTTATTAAATAGTGATTCATCAAATTTATCATTCAAACTGATAAATGGTGTAAGATACACCATTCTTTTAGGCGTCACTAAAAAACACTGACAAATATAATTCTAAATTGTCATAAATTATAAGGTACAACACCCCACTTTCAGAAACACTAAAATGTGAAAAAATTCCATTTAGAATCAAGAAATATGTTTGTGTATTGTCCATCTTTCCATCCTTAGTCCCCATCTAATCTAAGACAAACATGCAAATCAAATGTACCTTTGCTACGCCTTAAGCTGCGCCCACAAGCCAATCAGAGTGACTATATGCAAATTAATGGAACCAAGATGGCGGCCAGCAGCCAGGGAGCTGGGGCGAGCAGGAGGGTTGGTTGTTCCAGTGATGGAGGAAGCCAAGCTTCCTGCTTGCCACGGCCGGCTCTGAGCTCCACTGAAGGCAACAAAGGTTCAATTATAGAAGGTAAATAAATCCCAGAATAAAAAAGAAAAAAAGGAGAGGCTGGGAGCTTCTGTCACTGGGGGATTTGGCCAGCCTGAAAGCGGCCCTCAGCCCCTCACCCAGACTGGCCAGGCAACCCAGTGGGAACCCCCAACCCTAAAGGGGGTGTGGCCAGCCTGAAAACAGCCATCAACCCCTCACCCAGGCTGGCCACACCTCCATGGGGTAAGGGTACCCACTGGGGGGGCAG